CTTGTAGTCACAACTTGTAAATAGTCTTACAAATTTTAAATACCTAATAAGTTGTGTATTTTAGTTTTACTCCAGTTCATTTTAGTTTATTTTGACATAGCTAACACTAATTGTAATTGGTTGATCTGGCTAAATAAATGGCTTATGACTTATGGCTTATGGCTTATGACTTAGGAAGCATTGTGTCAAAGACAGGGGAGGGGGATGGACGAGGATGTTGCAACCAGAATGAGGAAGGCCAAAGGAGCGTTTGCTCAGCTTGCACCTGTTTGGCGGTCAAGCCAAATAAGAAGAAAAACTAAATTAAAAATATTTGAAACAAATGTAAAGTCTGTACTATATTGCTGCCAAATATGGAAAGCAACAAAGACTATAACCAGCAAATTGCAAGTGTTTATCAATAAATGCCTTCACTTCAAAGGATATTGGACATTCATTGGCCTAAAAGAATTGCCAACGAAGAATTACTGAGAGTAACAAACCAAAGCCCAGTAAATGAGACTATCAAGGAAAGAAAGTGTGGCTGGATTGGCCATACGCTAAGAAGGCCAAAGTACACCTTTAGTCGCCAAGCCCTCGAGTGGAATCCTTAGGGAATAGGAAAAGAGGAAGGTCAAAGACAACCTGGAAGAGGTCGGTCGACAAAGAAATCAAGGAAGAGTGCTAGAGCTGTGGTGAGGGGTAGCGGATTTCTACCCCCGGATATTTACCCCCATGAAAAAAACACCTACGTCATTTTGACGTCACGAGGGGCGGGGCCTATTCACGGTCGAGAAACAGCCCGCGACTGGAAATTTACCCCCAATATATTATTAAATAATCAACATGTAATTGTTTGATTATAAAGTGATTTGCCATAGCACGGAAATCTACCCCCGGACATCTACCCCCCAGAAATCCACCCCCGGATATCTACCCCCGGATATCTACCCCCGGACATCTACCCCCGGACATCTACCCCCGGAAATCTACCCCCAGAAATCTACCCCCGGACATCTACCCCCAGATATCTACCCTTGGACATCTACCCCCAGACATCTACCCCCGGATATCTACCCCCAGACATCTAGCCCCGGAAATCAACGGCTCTTCGGTTAAGCATTGTCTTGTAATATCCAGTATTAAGCATGCGATATGTCATTGTCTTGTTTAACATTGGAATCGAATCACAATGGATGCTCTAGTTTTTGAGAAGAAGGCCACGTAAAATGCCTTCTGGGTCTTGACAGACAAGACAGAAATTGAGATAAAGACTTGTTTTGGCTTCTTTAATGTATGAAACGTAAAAATGACCAAAAAATATATAATTTTAAGCAATGTTCATACTAAACTCTAATTTAATTAAAATAAATTCGTAAAACCAAAAGAACCATGAGGTAAAATGCCTTCCCTATCCCGAAATATCCAATTTTATTCTTTTACATTATTCTCCGTTATTTCACAACCAGCATTGACAACCAGAACCAATAAAAAAATATGTTTATGTTTTATTTTTTACGATTAATTATTTGTGTAAACAACTAGACTTTTTAGCCAATGTAAAACTCCGGGTAGTGTCTACGACGTAGGGATTATGCTATTTCGTATTACTTGGAGGTAATTGATAGTGAAAAAATTATTAATTCATTATAGTCCAGTCAATAAAGGGATTGTAGAGGACATGGAGAGGGGGAAATTTTTTTTCTGCGGGAATGTGTTCGGGGTAGTTAGAAGATAAAAATACCAAAAGTCCCCGCCCCTGGCCCTGCTGCTTCAGCGGGGGGAGGGGGGGAAAGACCCCATTTTTTAGTTTTTTTACTTCTACACTGAAAACCGTTCATCGTACGGAATAAATGTAAATTATAAAAAGAAAGATGATGAAATTTTCTACAAGAATGGTCATATTCATTTCTTCCGTATATGCATTGGTTTAAAAGATATTCTCAATTAAATAAAAAAATTCTTAAATAAATTGATTTTTCACGCGTTTTTTATCAAATAAGTTTGTATAATCCATTAGCCTGTTGTTGTTTCACATCAATCAGGATAGAAAACAGGTTTTCGAACACTAACCTATATAATATAATATATCAATCGTATATATTGTGTTAAAAATAGTTTATATAAATTTAAATAAGTCATGTATATTTGTCATGGAAACAAGTAATTTTGGCATAATTATTACACTAAAAATTAAAAAGATTATGTTTGTAGCTATATTTGTCCAGGTTTATTTATAACAATTACCGAAACCAATATTATTGTTCATGGTCTGGCTCACTTGGGACGAGAGGGTCCGACTTCTGTCCCAAAAACTGGTGCCATCTGGAACTGAAAACCACTATCTAGGACATCTCCATCATTCAATTCTTGTTTATTAGACTCAATATTGGCTATCGAAGTGAGAATTCGGTGTAGGCCTGTATATTCTTTCTGTGGATTTGTATAAGTTAAAAAAGTTATCAAGATTTACAGGATTGTTAACGATTCTCACGCATAAGGTTATTTGGCAAAGGGGATCTTGAGTGCGATATGTGATGGATAAGTGAGGTACGTGGATACATATTACCTTGTAAGGTAATGCATTGTTGTTTTTGACGGATATAGCAATTCAGAAAACAACACGAAGATGGCAGACCAAGAAAGACGCTACAGATTGAAAAAGTCAGTAGTAGTGGTGGTCCCAGGATTTAATTTCCGGGGGGGCCTCCGGTGGTTAACCCCCCCCCCCCCGGAAAAAATGTGGAATTTGAAGCACAATAACGTATTTTTATATGCATTTGAGCTCTAAAATATCTTTAAGCTAATAGTATTTTTGTTAGCTAATAAAATATTTCGGAGAGGATATATACCTCCCCCCCCCACTAAGGGACCGCCACTGGTCAGTAGATATTCATTTGAACAGAGGCACCGATATTATAGTAACCAGGAACAGTTAATCAAGTATTTTGCAAATGTACTAAAGATTATAACAGTGCCAGATGTGCAACTTGTGCATGCAAGAAAATGTCCAATAATTGTTCTCCGTTATGCCAGAACTGCTAAGGGAACTTTTTACATGAAATGCCCATTCTGATGAATGAGGAAGATGAAGAATATACAGGCCTACACCGAATACTCATTTCGATAGCCAATATTGAGTCTAATAAACAAGAATTGAATGATGGAGATGTCCTAGATGGTGGTTTTCAGTTCCAGATGGCACCAGTTTTTGGGACAGAAGTCGGACCCTCTCGTCCCAAGTGAGCCAGACCATGAACAATAATATTGGTTTCGGTAATTGTTATAAATAAACCTGGATAAATATAGCTACAAACATAATCTTTTTAATTTTTAGTGTAATAATTATGCCAAAATTACTTGTTTCCATGACAAATATACATGACTTATTTAAATTTATATAAACTATTTTTAACACAATATATACGATTGATATATTATATTATATAGGTTAGTGTTCGAAAACCTGTTTTCTATCCTGATTGATGTGAAACAACAACAGGCTAATGGATTATACAAACTTATTTGATAAAAAACGCGTGAAAAATCAATTTATTTAAGAATTTTTATATTATTTTGAGAATATCTTTTAAGCCAATGCATATATGGAAGAAATGAAAATGATCATTCTTGTAGAGCATTTCATCATCTTCCTTTTTATAATTTACATTTTTTCCGTACGATGAACGGTTTTCAGTGTAGAAGTAAAAAACTAAAAAATGGGGTCTTTCCCCCCCTCCCCCCGCTGAAGCAGCAGGGCCAGGGGCGGGGACTTTTGATATTTTTATCTTCTAACTACCCCGAACACATTCCCGCAGAAAAAAATTTCCCCCTCTCCATGTCCTCTACACCCCCCTTTTGAGCATTTATTGACTGGACTATTAATCAACCTGTGGCAGGCTTTTTATCAACATTTAATTGCATTTTTACCACTAGTAATCAGAAAATAACCTCCTTCAGTAATATGTTATAAATTTCACGATCTGCGCTCGTGCATGTGCCGTTAGCTATGAGCGTATGTGAAAATTGGTTAACAATTTAAATCACTGTCTGAAAATAAATCAAATGCTTATGGGTTAAACTTTTGGAGCCCTTTATCAAAATATCCTTTTTAATTACCATTTGCGTTGCACTGAATCTTAAGCTTAAAAATTACACCTAAATCAGTAACAGCTTAATGAATTGGGAAGATAGATGACATTAAACAAGACAACGACATATCACATGCTTAATACTAGATATTAGAGGGTAATTATTAAACGAAGAGCCATTGATTATTTTTATAAACCAATTACTAAAATCAATTACAACAATGAATATTGACCGATGCGTAGTGTAGCACGGGGGGTAGATTTCCGGGGGTCGGAAATAAATAATTCCGGGGTCGGACATTTATGATTTGACCACTGGGGGTACATTTCTGGGGGTAGATTTCTGGGGGTAGATATCCGGGGGTAGATGTCTGGGGGTAAATGTCCGGGGGTAGATGTCCGGGGGTAGATGTCTGGGGGTAGATTTCCGGGGGTAGATGTCTGGGGGTAAATGTCCGGGGGTAGATGTCCGGGGGTGGATGTCTGGGGGTAGATTTCCGGGGGTAAAGTTCCGGTGTCAGGTTTATTAGCATTTCGATTAATTTCAACTGTTAAGTAAACCGTGAAATGTGAGTTGATTGAATATACAATAATTTATCCATCCTAAAAGTTCACGGCCGGAAATCTACCCCCATACATGTGACGTCAAAGTGACGTAGGCGTTTTGTCATGGGGGTAAATATCCGGGGGTAGAAATCCGGCGACCCGATCAAGCTGATGGCACAGACCCGTGTACTGTGGAAGGCGTGTGTGGCAAACCTACGTCCCCCATGGGAAAACCTTATTACCTTATTACCTCCTCCTTGGCTTGATACCAGCATAAGCTGGTTAGGCTGCGTCAACTATTTACAATTTTAAAAATGAAAACTAATATTTACAATATTTACAAACTTCCATTAAGTCGGATTAATAAACTTAATGGCGGTGGATTTAAAGTCCCGTGAGGTCGTCCTCAAAGAACTCCTTAAGCGAGTAATATGGCCTAGCTTTTAGCCAACACTTTAACCTGGCTTGAAACTGGTTTTTGTTTAAGTCCCTAACTGCAACCGGCAACTTATTGGTCAGTCTGAGGGCCATGACCGGGAAAGCATCCTTTGTCCTACTGAGCCTGCAATAGGGCACATCAATGTGGTCTTTGCGCCTGGTGTTGTGCGCAAGCACCTGCTGCCTGGTGGTGAAGGTATGCACATTGGAGTGTACGTAGCTGACACATTGAAGGATGTAGTTGCTGTGTATGGTAAGTATGCCCAAGTCAACAAAAATAGGCTTGCAATGCTCCTGTCGCCCACTGCCAGTCATGATTCTCAGAGCTTTCTTCTGCAGTTTAAGGATTCTGGAGACATTGGATGCATGACCCCATAGCTGAAGACCGTAAGTGACGTGACTATGAAATAATGCGTGGTAAACCACAACTAGATAAGCCCTATCAACTAGTCTTGTTAGTTTCCTGAGAAGATGTGTAACCCTTGATAATTTCTTTGCCACGTTATCCACATGATCTTTCCAACTCAGCTTTGGGTCGATCGTAAAGCCCAGTAGATTTACCGTATCAACGTCCTGAGCCAAGTTTGACTGAAGTGAACACAAGATTTTTTGTGTCTTGTCTTGGTTGAGTTTTAGTTTGTTTGTCTCAAACCAATCTTTTGCTGCCCTAAACATCACTTCAGCTCTTTCTGAAGCCGTTCCTGGATTGTCACCAACAGAAATTAGGGTAGTGTCATCAGCAAACCTGAGTGCATTGCCACCTAGTTCAAGGTCATTTATGGCTATCAGAAAGAGGACAGGTCCCACAACTGACCCCTGAGGCACCCCGTGAGGAACATTGAGAGCTCGGGACTTAGCTCCGGCTATTGAGACGATCTGCTGTCGGTTCCCCAAATATGTGACAAAGGTGTCGTAAACTGCACCGCACAGCCCATATTTATTTAATTTAGCAAGGAGAATGTCATGTGAGACGCAATCGAATGCCTTGCTCAAGTCACATAATGTCAAGGCAACAGTGTTGGTATCCTCAAAGGCTTGTTGAACGCGATGTATGAGCTCAGAGACGGCAGTGACAGTTGATCTGTCTTTACGGAAGCCGTGTTGCAGATTAGACAGCAGGTTATTGCGTTCAAGATAGGAGACTAGCTGGAATTTAATGGCGGTTTCAAAGACCTTAGCGAAAGTTGGTATAATAGATATAGGTCTATAGCTCTGTACACTTGCTGGATCACCTTTTTTGTAAATGGGGACAGTTCTAGACACCCTTAGGATTCTAGGAAATATTCCGGCACTTAGGCAGGAGTTCAGGACCTGGCAAAGAGGTATGGCAACAATGTTTATAGTGTGCTTTAGGATGACAGTAGTCATTCCATATATGTCGGGGCTGTGAGAGGTCTTAAAATGGCCTACCATGGTGACAAGGCTCTCTGGTGTAAGAGGTTGCCAGGTTGAAAGGTTGATATCGGGAGACTGTATGTCTTTGACTATTTCGTTGCTATCAACAGGAGCGAGGCCTACTATGCCCGCTACAGTACCGATGAGATGGGTGTTGAAGTCATCGGGACTAGCAGTACATTTAGAGGCAGGTGACAGCACTTGACCAGTATCACGGTTGTTGTTGACCAAATTCCATACCGCCTTGCAAGGATTAAGCGAGCTTTCAATTAGCCTCACATTTGAAGCTTTCTTTGCCTGATCTATTTTAATCCTATACAACCTTTTAGCTCTGGTGTAAAGAGTATAGAAATGGTCCCTATTGGCGAGAGTCTCCGCCGCCATGTATCTATCCCTGAATGCTAGCACAAACATTTGAATCTGCTTCAACTCGGCAGTAAACCAAGTTTTGTCCTTAGGCCTGAGCGGTTTTTTTTTGGTTTGAGGGTTCACCTTTTTGCTGACTTTTACGGGGAAAAAAGTATTAAAAACTGAAATGTATGCCTCAAAAAATGCCTCAAAAGCCGATTCGGCTTGCTTATGGTATAGCACATCATCCCAGGGAACCTGTGAAAGAGCATGTTTAAAGCTAGGAATAAGATCGTCATCTAATAGCCTATAATATCTAGTATAAAGATTTAACCATGCAGGAACTGTTAAAGAAGGACTCACCATACTGGAGTTGGCTTTCATGAGAACCGCTTGATGGTCCGCCACATATGGTTCAGTTGTCCAAACCTGGTAATCCCATGTGTTAAGATCTGTGGCCACTGTATCAAGGCAGCGAGGTCCACGCGTAGGCAGAAGACTCGTGATGAACAGTCCATGAGAGCGTAGTAGATCTGCGAAGTCACTGGCCACTACATCATTGGCGTTGAGGGTTATGTTAAAGTCTCCGCCCAAGATAATGTTTTTCTTGAAACCAGCAAGGTAGTCTAGACACTGGTCGAGCAGATCGAAGAACTGTTGAACCTGTCCATCGGGCGAGCGATATATGCTGAGGACGATGAGGGAGAAGTCGATCAGCTCAATACCAACTATCTCAATATCGAGCTCACTGCAGTACTGCACAAGATTAATAGGCCTAGACCTAGTGCTTAAGTCCTGTTTCACATATATAGAGACACCGCCATTTTTGTGCAGGTCCCGACAATAACTTGCTACAAGTTGCAATGAGTTCAGTTTGCTGAAAGCTCCTATCTCACTGTTTCCTAGCCAATGTTCACAGCCACAGAATACGTCTAATTGATTTTCTTCACAAAAAAGTGAGGTGACATTAAATTTAGTACGTAAGCACTGAATGTTAAGATAGCCAAAAACAGGAATTAAGTCAAGTCATTAGATGTCAAATATTGATTGGAGGTTACTGGTTTATGATGTCAATTTGAATGATTTTGATTCTTAGAATACAGCACTGTGTACCAATATAAATAACTTCTTGATCAGCATTGTACGTGTTATTAAATTTACGGAAAGTAAATAAGAGAAACGTCTTATAACACTTAAAAGATATATTTACGCTTATACTGTTACTCACAAGACGGTAAATATACAAAAAAGATGGTAAGTGGTGATCGATTTCGATTGGACACTCCAATCATCATCAGACCCAATAGGCGAATGACAGTTACATTCACTCATCATACATTCACAGCTCATTCACTGACTGTCATTCGCCTATTGGGTCTAATGATGATTGGAGTGTCCAATCGAAATCGATCACCACTTACCATCTTTTTGTATATTTACCGTCTTGTGAGTAACAGTATAAGCGTAAATATATCTTTTAAGTGTTATAAGACGTTTCTCTCATTTACTTTCCTACCAATATAAATACGCGTGTTTTTATGAAATTAAACCTTTTTTGGATTGATAAACTTCCTCTTTACTAGGCAACTGTTTCACAGGTTTAACGAATCAGTATTTAATAGTCTTTCACACAAATTATAAGTATAATATTACATTTACAACTGTGTAGTTTAATATTTTGTGTTTAAACAAATCTTTATCCAACATGAACTATCCAACCTCTTTACGTTAACATGTACTCTCAGAAATTTATCAGACCCTGTAGATTTAGAATATACGAAAAAAAACGCACATCGATGAAAGCGCACATGAGGCATGATGACAGTTTAGAAAAAAATTGACAAAGCTACATTCATACTGATTTAAAACCAGCCTAAGTATACTTTAAAACTGTAAATATATTTTAAAAGTTGCCATTGACACAGCTTCACTTTTGCTGAATATGAATAAGCCTAAATACTAACAAGACTCTAAATATATATGAAAAGTTATCATTGATGAAGGTATACTCATGCTGATTTCAACACACCTAAATGATTTAACACTTTTTAGTAATAATCATTTAGCCAGTCCTATTATCATAAAGTGTGATGGGAATCAGGAACAAATTAATTCAACTTTTATTTTCCGCGTACATAACATTTATACTTTCTAAGAAGATATGGATTCCTTTTGTAACACCAAATGGGTTAACCGTGCGCTTTCTTTGTGACACCGCAAATTTACAATTTTAACCCAAACCAAGGACTGTGCATTTGTCAAAATAAAACCTCAACATTAAATATTTAAATTTCTTTCAAGTTACAAGGTGCAATTTGAATTTATATCCCTAAACCCTTTACCATATTGCCTGTAAAGAAAATGTTTTTAAAATCTGATCAACCTTTATATACTACATGTTGTTTATACTTCTATTTCAGATTATTATTTTTTGTTGTTTCATTAAGTTCTTTTTAGAACTAAGAAAAGTTGATATTACTTGATTTTACTCACCCGTCCATTCCAACTTAATGATAACCTGAATTGTCCACAAACTCCAATGTACTACAGAAATATTGTTTAAACTTGGTGACTTCCAGGAATCGTGAAAATTCAAGAATGAAAGGAATTGAGCTGTTTCACAAACTCCAATTTATTACAGAAATGTTTTAAATTGAAACTTCATGAGTTCTAGGAAATGTTGGAATTCAAGAATGGAAGGGGGTGGGCAGTTTCAGAAATCCTATTGTATAACAGAAATATTTTAAATTCGAATTTGGTGACTTAGAGGAAATGCTGAAATTCGAGAATGGAAGAGATTGTTTCGATGCGTAGCCCGTACATCGACCCCAGCCCTAGATAAGCTCCCTCGGCTGACAATGGCGTTTGGAATACCATCGTGTTCAAATATGTTTAGGATTGTCAATGAATATCTTAAGATTAAATGTTTGCTATTAGGGTGTCAAATCTTCCATGTAAGATAGTTTGCTCAAGAAGATTTGCACTATAGTTTTCCTGGTTTAAAACGGGAAAATACTGAAATAATATCCCAAAAACTGCACTGTTCATTAGGTGTTTCCAATTCCCATTACAATATTTCAAGAGTTATTAAAATCCCGTAATTGAATCGTCAAAGTCAATTGAATTAAAATAACTTTTTTGATCAAGAATGGTTTTTTAAATTTTATTATACCATGATATCATGATACCAGGTGTAAAGAGGCTAACTTCTGAATAGATATGGTTATTCAAGTTTCCGTCGCAAAAATGCGTAATGCTGCATCTAAAAATTATGCTGAGAAATTGCATAATATTATTTAAACGGTGAAAATCTTTCACTCATTGCACAGAGCGCAATCTTATGTTAAGTTAAACCGTACAATTTACTTAATACAACATGTTAAGGGTATATTTTTATTATTTTTTGTTTTTGCAAAATTGTGGAACACAGCACACAGTGTGGAACAAAGTATATATTTATATTATATACTTTATTTTACAGCTAAAGTACTTAATCCAGTTATTATACATGATGACCAGTAGTTATAAAATTATATTAGAGTTTTATGTATATTAGCTCATGATCAACGACGAGCTATTCATCACTTCTACAAACTATACATATTATCTGGCTGAAATTTGTGAAAGTGATTAAACCCGATTTATTTTTCACTCTGCCCAACTAGTATCACAGAATAAAAAGTTAGCCAAATAGTTAAGCTACCTACTCTTTATTCTGTGCCATTATGCATTTACTAATAAATTATACACATATTACTTCCAATGTATGGGTGTGGTTACGATTTTGATTGGTTCTTGAAAATAACTAAACACTCGTGTGTATTGTGTTTATTATATAAAATCTCTCCCAAAAATAGTTACACGTTTTTATTAACCAATTAGGATAACTTTTTAAAGCTAACATGTATATTTCTCCATGAATTAAAACGATTACACGTTTAACTAAATTCAAAATAACTTTATCATCTTAAATAGTCACAAATGGTGAAAGTATTTGTTCTAAACATTATTTAATGCTAACCGGGTTTACTTACTATAAAAATTGAGTAGGCCTAAATGTAATTTTTAGTTATAAACGAATGTCCAGTATTTATGTCACACTATTTAACGATATTAATAATACTAATTAGGCTCATCGTTCAATGTATGGCTGTTGAACTTTCTATTGCTTAAGCCGGAAATCTCAACTAATTTCCTCCCAAGAATCAGTTTTCAGAACGCTTCATTGCTCCTGAATAGTTCGTTCAGACGTCCGGTATGCACCCGAAATGGATCATCATATATCATAATTACATCCTACGTCAACAGTATTCGATTTAATTTCCTTAAAAGCGTAAGTATTAAAATATACAAATCGTCCATGGTGAGCCTTGACCAAACATAGTCTAGGTGTTTTTTCTTCAACTAAACTTTAATCGATAACGGAATCAAACTGTTATATATGTCTTCTGTAAAATATTAATTAAAAGTGTGAAAGAAACGAATAAAGAGAAGATTTGACGGCAAACTATAATGTCTCACTATATATTGTCTTAAATTCTCATATTTGGGTGATTATAAAGTGGATGAAGGTAGTTTATACACAAAGAACTGGTATAGAGGAGGGTGATACAAATAGATGACCAAGATTTCATTAATGTAAATTTCTAACGTTGGTATCTCATAACTTGTCTTTTTCGCTTCACTAGGCCATGATTTTGACATATTTTATTAATTTATCTTTGCCATTCTTTTCTATGATGTATTTAATTACTTTTTAAAATGAAGTAATTCTCAAAACCCCCATTTCATTGTAAATTGTTTAAAGGATAATAAAGATCCTTATTGCTAAATGTTCTTAAGAGCCCTTCTATTATAAATGGAATTTTTTAATCAACAACAGGAAACTTGCTCACCAAATGATACAATTATACGTAGTTATTATGGATAAAAACCACTGGGTAAAACCGTTTACCATCGCAATCTTGGTCCACTTTCATAGTAAACTTAGTTGTGTAGGTTTACGAATATTAATCTTAGTTAGGCAAAAAATATAAAATGTAATCAATTATGGTGTGTTCGTTTTGATAATAAACTTGGCTGTGTAAGTTCACGATTCTTAATCTCTTAGTTGGAAAACATATATAAAATGTAATAAGACACATTTTTTAGTTACCTCAGTTTTCAACTTGTTGTATTCTTGAACTTTGAAAATAAAGATATTGTATTTGTATCTTGTGCAACTTTCTAAAATGATAAATGACATTGAACCTTTTTTATTCTGCTGCCAGTGAGCGATTTTTGTACTTCAATTGGAAAAGTGAAAAAAATATCTGTATTTTACAAAAGTGTAAAAGGAGACAAAGTACTTGCAGAATTGACTTTTGGAAACTAAAGTAGATATGTCATCTATTTATGGACCAGCTGTGGCTATTTCTCATTAAACACAATTTGTTGAACGGTGCTACAGTCTAAAATATTAGATATTTTCTATCTTACTTTATGTCACAGTGTTTGTGTCATTGATGAGACACAAAGGTTTCTTTAGTTACAAGGATGTCCTGTCAGTTTAGCCTGGTTTAAAAGTCGTCGACAGACGTCAGTAATTTACACCAGAGCCTCTGTCAGCTGTCAGTGGCTCAACTTATCTTATATACTTTCAGTTTTATCCAAACACTAGGGACTGGCTACAACTCCGACATGAAAATGGAATGTCTAGTTCCTTTCACGATCAAATCATAGAGCCACTATCGTTAATGGCTGTCTATAAAATGAGT